TGTCTGAGTAAAGTGTCTTTGTTTTACCGTCAGAGGATACTCTCAAAAGAAGTGAACCAAGAAGAACCTGATTGGGTCGGCAGCTTTCTCGTAATAGCTGAGATGTCTCGACGTGGTCGCCCAACCCGTGGTACTCATTATCCACGGTTGCAGGTTCCCATATCCTGAGCAATGGGGTGCGGCCGTGAAGATTTTTTTTTCTATCTCGGAACAATCGAAAACGCTGCTAAAGCTTGGGGGTCACATTCACGAGCCCGAAGTTTCCGCTTTCCAGACTCTAAAGCGCTTTGCCCCTTCGCATCCTTTCCATTCGCGACTGCCAAATAAACGAGGCTCAATATCTGTGGGGGGCGTTCACTGTGCCTGCGCCGCAACAAACCACTTGCGCCACCCACAGGATCGCAGGGTATGACTCCACGCAGTAGACATAGCTTTTGGAGAACATTTTCAAGCGTCTTGTCCAAGAAGAAAGTTTTGCTGGTATGGACGCCAATTTCGGCTTCTATTGTAGCGACGTGGGTGCTGAGAAATTCATAGGCACGCCAATATCCTTTTCTACGCCTTTAGACCACTTAACGCACATAACGTCCGATGACTTTGTGGCCCACTCTCCTATGCAGCTTTGTTTCGACTAGTTCTTATTGATTCTTGTCCCGGAAAACCGACCGTAGCCCACGAGTTCATCCAAGATTGTTTCAATGTCTTGCTTTGAAGAGTATACAAAGGAAACATTGTCCTCGTACGCCAGGCGTTTGACACATGCTCTCTCCAGCTTGAGACCAGAACTCGACGTGTAGCGATGCACCTTGAGGCACAATGGCTACAGCTGTAGAGCGAACAAAATTGGTGACATGGGGCACCTTTGAAGGGCAAAATGCTGAACGGAAACTGGGTTTCCTTTCTCCCCATTAATTAAAAGCTGCATGGTGATGCTTTTGTAGCACAGCGCTATCGAATCTTTCATCACGTCGCCCACCCCACATCCTTCCAATACCTTCATTAGAAACTTGTGGGACACTCGATCAAACACTTGACCCTGATCCGTCTGAAGCACCGCTAGCGGCTGATGACCTTCCACTGTCGCTTCACTGAGAAATCCCATGACGTGGAGAGTGCAATAAATGGACCGTCCTTTTAATTGGTAGGTTTGGTGCTCTCCGATGATGCTTTTAAGTCTAACGTCCAGACGCCCAGCAAATATTTTCGAAATTATCTTGCAGTCTGTGTCTAACGACGGAAGTTCGTTACTTCGGGAATATTTTCACAGGTTTTGTACACTTTTAATTAGAACAGTTAAGCTCTCTTTCATCGATTGTGAAAGTACACGCATTTCTTGTTCGTCTTGAAACACTGTCAACAGAATGGGGCGGAGGATGATTTAAACATTTTATAAAACTCGGAGCCCATTCCGTCCGGGCCCGAGGCTGTGTTTGCTGGCAGATTCTTGATTTTCCAGTTGATTTCTGCCATACTGATCGGTTGATTCATGGAGTCCTTATGTTCCTCTGACACTTGCGGCCAATCGTTAACAAAATTATGGCTGTTGTTACTATCGATGTCCTCCCTTCAGAAGAACTCACTTTGGACGATCGCAAATTTCTCGGTCCCCCAGAAACCAAAATTCGATTATCATATCAAAGTCAGTGATAAAATACAAAGTTCCTTCTGTAAACATTTGTTCAGGTGTGGATCAAAGTGGTGAGCTTTTTTCCGGGGATTGTGCGGAGGAACAGGCATATTGACGCTTATCGTGACGATTAGTTTCGCATGCTTCGTTCACCAAATCGATGGCTGTCGCTGTGAACCATGTTTTAAGCAGCAAGTAAGTAATGTTAATAATTATTACAACACCTTTTAGGATTCGCTTCTGTTGTTTCCGCTTTGCCGTTTCTGGCATGTGGCATGCAGGAATCACACCGATACGCGCCCAGGTACCATATCGAGGCTGCAATCGAATTTCAACTGGTTGTAACTCTGTCGCAGAGCCGCTGCGACAGTGCGACCGCGATGTATTCATAAGCGCATATTACAAGTGCACATATGACTACAGGATCAGGAGGTTAGCCCCTCGCGTGGTCTACCAAAATTCTAGTATGCTAGAGTAGCGAGTGAACATATTCATATAAATCCCGAATTTTTAAATTTTGAACGACCGGGGTACGACTCAATATTTTGTGAGCAGACAGCTACGGAGAGCAGTTGTCTGTTCAGAAGATAAAATAGTAAAAAAAAATATGTCCAGTTTACACCATTGTTTTGCAATTACTCATGAATTGTCGAGTCTCACCCCAACCACCCCCGTGCAATTACAGGCGCGTTAGATGTAGATCCTATTAAAACAAAAATATATACAGTATTCTTTAATAGTGCGAAATTACACTTGTGCAAGCTGCGGATGTCTTGCACCAACCGCTCTCAAACCTCCTTTCAAAAATTTAAATATTCACTCTGCATATAGTCAGTGGCGCTGGCGGGCGGTCATGTGCTTACAATGCGGGTCTCCGTACATAGCTCATCTATAGATCGAAAAGGGTAGGGATGAATCCATGGGATCTGAAGCGCGGCTTTCATAGACGTTCCCGAATCGCGATGCACTAGAACACCCAGACACCGCATCGCTATTTTCTAATTCAAATCGGCTGCCCTATGTCATCAAAACATACAAAGCATTGGAACTGTCAATATACAGGGTGAAACAAGGAGACGCCATGCTCTTTAAATCGACCGGAAAATTCGGTTTCTTAACCTATCGCGCTACGACTTTGTGCAGCGTTGTCTACAGATCGTGCATTTGTTTTGTAAAATTTGCAAAGAGCGAACTTACCTGAGGAAAAAGTAAACAAAGAAAAAGGCTTAGCTCCTATGGAAACGCAGCGACGCCACCGGTCTTCAAGGAGCACGGCGCCGTTTCGCACGGGACACAAGAGATGGCACAACGAACGCCGCCAACGAACGATCGTACGGCGCCGAGAGCCAGCGTCTTTAGCAGACAATCTTTTCGACTCAAAAGCGGCGCGCGTTCCGCAGGCGGCGACAGTCGCAGAAACAAAAAAGACAGGCGCGGTAACAACAAGAACTACAGTTCCTTGTCTGCAGTGCTAAATACGCCGGCTCTCGGCGTCGTCTGCTCGTTCGTTGGCGGCAGTTGGCGTCGTGACCGCTTGCGCCATCTCTTGTCTTCCGTGCGAAACGGCGGCGTGTTGTTTGAAGACCGGTGGCGTCGCTGCGTTTCCATAAGAGCTAAGCCTTTTTCTCTCTTTACTCGTTTCCCAAATAAGTTTGCTCTTTGCAAATTTTACAAAAAAAAATGCACCATCAGTGGTCAACGCTGCACAAAGTCGTAGCGCGATAGGTTAAGAAACCGAATTTTCCGGTCGATTTAAAGAGCCTGGCGTCTCCTTGTTTCACCCTGTACAATGAGTGTTCGGCGTCGTACAATCAAGAACTCTAACCGATGGGTACGTATGTGCGCATCGACACTTAACTAACTACCCATGATGCATTCCTATGAATGAAATTGGAATATTTGTGCCTGCTCTGTGTTTCTCTGTCGGCTCATCAACGTCGGCATCAGTGGCACGACATTTTAGTATGAAAAAAAATACTGCAATGACTGCAGAAACGCGGATTAAATATACACACAAGTCTGTATTTTTTACAAGACAAACTAGTCTAGCACATGACAGGCCAGACAGAAGTTCCAAGGAGCATGAATGTCCGACGAGACGGACGATCCAATAACGAATATTTATGCACGTGGGACATTTAGGCACGTTGGAGATTCCGTCTCGGTTGGGTCTTTTGTTTTGATGGACATTCAGGCTCGTTGTACATTCAGTCCCGTTGAACATTCAGGCCAGAAGCCGCATTCTTGCTGTCCTGCAGTGGATTGTTTTAGTTGTAGTGTGTCGCAATAAACTTATAAAACTATTTTTAGGATATAAAAAAAGACCATAGAAAGATTAAGTAGAGCTTTCCAATACTTGCGATGACAACGATAACGATACCCGATAACGATGCGATGCACGCGCGAAGGCGTCGGCGGAATATCCGGTATCTTTATCGGAGTCATTGGAGCGATCTATGAAAACACCCTAGTACAAGGTGTCACAAAAGAAAATTTACACGGTCTTTTTTACCGCAAAAATAAACTAGGCATCGCCGAATGCTCATTCTCCGCCCAAATGTAGCGCTAGAGGTCACAACCAGATGCCAAGGTTTCAGCCCGATCCGATAACTTAATCAAAAGTTATAAGGGATTTCCTGAAAATTTCAATGGGAAAATGGCGGCCGACGGAGTTTTCAAACACATGGGGCTCTATGGCGCCAGAAACCGAAAACAGGCAAAAATGGGCTCCATTTTCCCATTGAACTTTTCAGAAAACCACTTATAACTTTTGATTAAGTTATCGGATCTGGCTGAAACTTTGGCATCTGGTTGTGACCTCTGACTCTACCTATGGGCGGAGAATGAGCGTTCGGCGGTGCCTAGTTTATTTTTGCGGTCAAAAAGACCGTGTAAATTTTCTTTTGTGACACCCTGTATATCAAAGCTCTGCATCTCAAGTGTGTGCAAGCATACGGCATCGTTGGCTTGTCGATTGGATATGCTCCCGTCTCCTCAGTGTAACACTCATTATCGTCTACAATTAGAGGTAAAATTTTTCTCTGAGGACTTATATGGTGTAGTGTCTGAAGGTATATATATACCTACAAAATGTTAACCTGCGTATTTTAAAAGAACAAAAACGCGTGATATGGGTAAGGAACGAAAAGCGCGACTGAAGCAATAATTAATAGAAAGTAATATTTTACCATCGTAAGCTGTTTCGTGCAAAGAATACTGTGCCGTAGTTCTTCCCTTGAAATGTTTTGAACCTATTTCATAACGTTTGGGCCCATTCGGTATATTTTTCGTTTTTATGTGTAGCACCCGTTATTTCTGACGAGTGAACGAATATTAAGGAAGAGGCCTGAACTTAGTCTACCTTTTATTTCAGAAGTCGAAGCAAGGACTTGACATAAACGGACAGGCAAGTTCATTTAATCGACATAATAATAGAACCCCACTCCCTTTGATATTTATAAAATTGGCGAACGTAAGCCACATCTTAATTTCTAATAACATTTGTAAGAATTGCTTTGCAAAGAAACCAATTTGGTCTGGAAAAGTTGGAACAAAAAGTGGAGACAATTGGCGCACCTCGACAGCGGCGTCTGGCCGAACGTTCGTACAAATCCTGTTTACTAAGGGTTACTCAAGAGGACAAAGTGGTTTGCCTTAGTTGTCACACCGGTGGCCAAACTCAAGCTCACAGAACGTATCACTGAGTCCTGAGTACGTTGAGGTGATATATAGGCAAGGTGCTGGGGCGATCGGTTAAACATCGTGACTCTCAATATCCCGTGGATGCGAGGCTCAACCTCATAACCTTGTAATATAGAACTTGCTTTACCTCTAAACGCACAATGGCCCATTGATAAAAAAAGAGTATTTTTAACTATTTATTCTTGTTTGTAGTGTCATTTGAGAGTACATTTTTATGTACTAGAAAAAAAAAACATTTCAATTCTTAAAGATAATGTTTGCCGCGTGATCGTTTTGTGTGTAACGCGATTCAGGTTATTCTAGACAGATCTTGAATCATACCTTTTAGATATCTGTTTCTTTAGTTGGAAGAAGGAAAAAAAATGTTGCAAACATAAAAAAAACGTTGCTTTAGACGAACGTTTGAACCTATTTATTTTTATTTATTTATTAACTTTCCCACAGCGCCAGGGTGGCATTACGGTCGAGGGGGGATGTACATCAATGTGGTACATTTAAGCAATACAAAGGAGCATAAAAGAACACGCACATGCATACCCAGCACACGGGGGAAAAAAACACTTCTCAAAATGCAGCAAAAAAAAACGCCATTGTCCAAAATATCAACAACCTCCGAAGGCAATTGATTCCATTCCCTAATAGTTTTGGTGAAAAAAGAAGATTTAAACTGGTTTTCGTTACATTTATACTCACGTACCTTTCGTTCATGATCGACACGATGAGAGATATAATGCGGGGGGAAATGTAGTTCTTGCGCTGTATACCAATTCTGCAGTGGTAAATGTTACGAAATAGTTTTAGCGCGTTACAAATATAATCGCGGCGGATCTGGAAAAGAATCTAAATTTGAGACTTATGTCGTTTTGCGATAAATAACCTGAATTTTGAGAACAAAGTACTCACATTACCTCGCATCATAAGCACGAATATTCTGATGAAACTAAAGCAATAAGTTACAGATACAGTGATACACTATCAGATTCGTACCAAGACATTAAACGATCCGCATCCCGGAGTGGGGAAAGTTGCTTACGAATCGCTAGCGCTGTGTTCAAAAATGAGTATTCTCAAATATTTTGACTTGATTCTGAGTTCCTCTGATACAATTATTGTATTTTTATTTCATTGTAGCAAGTTCCGGCACCACCTTGTAAACGCAGGTGCTGCAATAAAAGAGGACGTCTAGAGGTGGTAAACTGGCCAGATGGCAGGCCCTGTGGTGTGTCTTCAGTAAGCTATAGCTGTGTATATTTTTTCAATGTTTCCATCTTTTTCAATGAATATTATAATGTACGCTTCTGACAAACTCATATGATTCACAATTATATTAAAAATATGCGCTAGTCAAAATGTATAGGTAATATACTCAAACGCAGGTTGTTGCTATAGCAAAATACTTTTCACAACTGAGTGTTGCAACTAAATTCCGTTCTCGCTGAGACTAGAGGCTCCGACGTCAGCGCAAGCTTTCTGCTTTGCTAACACCAGTGTGAACACCCAGGCACGCGCAACCAAAGCACTGCGGAAGCCAGCGAGCTCGCGGTGAATGCGCAGGAGGGTAAGGGAAGTGCTAGAGCTTAGTTTGGGTCTTGGATCTTTGTCGTCGTTCAACAGTTGTAGGTCAGGACGGAAAGAAATAAGTGCGGGGGGAAAGAAAGGGTCCCCATAAGTTCTTCTGTGTCGCCAGTGTTGGCGGAGATTTACACGAGCTTTCTTAATTCTGCCGTGATTGATAGAATGAGAAAAATCCTTTCGGACTGATGTGCTGTCAGTACATATGTCGACGATATCGTTGTCTGTGCTTTTCAAACTGGAGCGGAGAAAAAGCTGGGAATGTTAATAAGGTAATCAGCTCCTGAGCTGAAGTTCACGGTGGAGCATCCAGAGAAAAATTTGATGTAGTTCTTGTATCTACACATTCATGTGGGTGAAGCCTTATGCTGAAAATATTGAAAAACAAATCCAAAATGGATTCTTTCAACGTAAAGCTGCCACTCTAAGACTGTGAAAGCGGGTGTTGTTAGGTCACTCATCACTAATGTTTTAAACAGATCTTGTGTACACTTCATAGTGAAGGCCGTCAAAGGGCAGTGTGAGAGCTTCAGAAGTGCGGGATACAGAGATTTCATTAGCAGACACTTGACCATAATGAGCAGGTCAAGAATAGATAAAGAAGAAAGATCGAAAACAAATTAGCAGTCATGCCCTATTTCTACGCAATTACTCACAACGTAAAAGCTTGTGGAAAGAACTTTGGTGTGAATGTGGTCGTCAGTATGGATTTTAAGTTGGGCAACCTTACCCCACCCATTTAAGAAAGAAAGGAAGTGGTGCCGAATGCCCATGAAAATAAATCGGTACCTTGTGAGGAAGGAGTCGTGTATGACATACGTTTAGCTTGTGGGTCGAAGCATATGGGCGCAATTTCCAGGTGTTTGAATAATACACAAACTGAGCACAAAAGAAACGTAAAACTCGAAGCGGCCAATTCTGAACTAGCAACATATATTTAGGAACGCAACAACTGCACGGACCAGTGGTCGGAGACGGAAGTAGCGCACGAAGAGGTTAACGATGTCAAGTGAATTGTAAGAGAAACAAATAGAATTGCGTCAATAGGCAACTGTATAAGCCAGGCATCCATGCACCTTGCTGACAGTACCAGGGCGTTGTGCGCGTTTTCTTTTTGTTTTGTCTAGTGTAGCAGTGCAAGAATTTGTAAGAAGTAAAGTTTCAGTGTGAAGGCGACAAAAAGCGCGCAAGGTAATGTGTTTTGTTCCCCTTAGGGCTTTCTTATTATTTCAGTGAGCTTGGTGAGCAACGTCGTTCCGGGCTGGTTTGGGGTTCTCAGAAGTGTGAGATTTGTTCGAAAGTAGAGTGACAGCACAAGGTCATGGCGTGTCATAAGTGTGTACATTGGTGGCTCCAAATGTTGTAGAAAAAATAGAAAAAAAGGGAAAAACTTTTCCTCTGTTCTGTTAATTGGTGACAACCTTGGTGTCAAAGTGTGCGCATAGGAACGAAAAGTTGGGTGAAAACGAGCTGGTGAAGTATTAACATAATTTAAGACGAAACCACGAAACTGAGAAAAAATGAAGGGCAACCCAACACAGGGAACGTCTCAAACACAGCTATTTTTATTTCAAAGAAGTTCGTGTTTATACAGGTGTCACAAGGTTCTTTGTGGTTAATAATTGACAAGATACAATGCCCTTCATTTTCATAAAAACTTGTATTTACAAAAAAATCAAAGAGTTCATATGCTTATACAAAAAAAGAAAATTTAGTTAAAGAAACGAAAGAAAGGAAAACGCATCAGTCACCATGTCTTTGAATCCCTGTGCAGCAGTGTGTCTTGTGCTGTCGTTGTCGGCCCACGGTTGTGGCTGGAAGTCAGGAGCGGGAGCGGTTGGCTTCCGTCGGCGGCCCCAGAGTTACCGCATCAAGCGCTCGCGCTGTAGGAAGCCGGGGGTAGCGCAGGTTTCTATTCGCTGCCCTCGCTGGAACAGGCTGCTGGTCAGACAGTAGGAGGCCGCCGATTGCCCTGGCCGATGGTGTCGTTCCGCTCTCAGCACGTTCTCTTCGGCCAGTCCTCTTTCACACCCTCTCTGCACGCACCCTCAAAACTTCCCCTTCTTCGTCATCTTCCTTTCTCCCTCTGGGCCGATCCATGGGTTGACTTGCACTTCTTCTTTTCCACATTGAGTCACATCATCACAAGAAGCCCCCTTTAAGTTTTTTTTTTTTTAAGTACCAAAAGAAATTACATACACAAAAAAAAACCAAGACCATGATGATGTGCGCAAGTTCATTGCAGCCTAATAAGATAACCCGCACCTACATTGTTTCTTCTTTAAATGTACCCCACGCGAAACGAGTACTCTTGAGGCATCAGACCCCAGCGTAACACTCGGCTGTTAAGTTGTTTCGCCTTGTTTCAATATTGTAAAGGATGGTGGGGCGTCTGAACAACAAAATGCGTTCCATACAAATGTACACGAACCTTCTCTATTACCCTGACCCAGGAATGTTATTGTCCTCCTACCGACTTCGCACTTCATGGGTTTACTGTAATACCGGCTTGTCGCATTCTCTCATAAAACTGCTTTAACGCCTCCACATGTTCTCAAATTTCGTTGCAAATACGCTCCCAAAAATGCATAACCCGAGGTATATTACTAGAAACAAATTCTAACGATAAATTATTACAGTTCATTCTACTTTGCACTCCTCTCAATCGTAATGAATGAATCGTAATGAAGAATCATTTGAATCCACTACGCTTCTTTCAACGCTCGGTGATAATGCCCACTATCGTACCAAAGCACTTCATACGCGACGAAGAATTTCCTGGCAGTTCTCGATCACAGTGCCTTCCGGACCAGTTCGTCGAACATCTTCTTCACGAGCTCCAGGTGCATCTTGTCTGTGCCGTCGCGTATCCGGTGCTCCTTCTCCTCCATGTCTAGCCTTCTGACCTTGACCGCCACCTCTGCTTCAAACTTGGTCCTCTCAAGGGCCGGCTGCTCTTCGTCAAGCTTGAGCCTTCGCTCCTCAAGGTGCAGTTCTTTTTCCTGGATCATTTGTTCCCGGTCCACTTGCCTTTCAAGGAACTCCTGCCGTCCATCCTGACACTTCCTCTTGGCCCTTTCGTTTACGTGCACCATGGTGTCCTCTCCGGACGAGGCGGAAAGGTCGGCTCCTGCCAGGCTGTAACCCTCAATGACCTCGGTCGGGACGCTGTCGTGAGGATATATCTCCAGCACAGGGTAGTTATTGGCCGTGCCCAGTGGCGAAAGCACTGTTTTTACCTCAGGGTTACTCTTTTGGAGGCGCGGCCTCGGGTAGAGCACTCTGCGGGGATTGGGGTACACCGGCTTCTTCATGTCGAAGACCCGCTGCAGCAGCTTTTCCTTCTCTAGGTACTGCTCGTGAGTGGTTGGCCTGCTTTTCAAGTGCTCTTTAGCGTCGGTGTCACTCCACTGCGAGAGCCGCAGGTCCCCCCGTTCCCTGGCACTCCCACCGTTACTAAGTTGGTTTAACCTACTCGGCATATTACCGTCGACGGCAGCGACGATTTCACCTTCCGCGTCAGACAGCTCCTTCAGGGTTTGTTCGGTCGAGTCTTTCGCTCCATGAATATTCCCCACAATAACGTCATACAGAGGATGGTCCATACACTTGACAGTTACCTGTCCCGTTAGGAACGGTAACACAAGGCGAATGTTTGCCTCTGGCAACATCAGACACGTCCCGTCCACTAAAAATACGGGACTGACCTTGCCAGTACAATCTTCAGATGCGACCAGTTCCCGGCGCACTATCACGGTGTTACTCCCGCTGTCCCTCAACACCTTTACTGCTTTGCCGTTTAATATCCCACCTGTGATTGGCATACCTTCCGACATAAATGATCTCGCCTTTTCAGTCATCTTCATGGCGGGCGTTCTGAAGGCGTTTCTTGAGATTTTCTTCCTTCCCCGTGAGAACGCGTCCGTCTTACCAACAGGATCATCATCGGGTTTTACAAAACATGAAACTTCTGTCTTTCAGTTTTTTTCTTGCGGACATGATCTGGACTCGAGGCCTGACCTCTGACACACTTGACAGAATACGCGTGTTTCTGGCTTTGATCGGCAATCTGCTGCCTTGTGGCCCAACTTACTACACAAGAAACATTTTACCTTTAGAGCGGGTTTGCTGCCATGCACATCTTCAATCTAAGGCTTCCTTGGCCTCCTTCCTGAAATTGGCCAGATTAGGCTGGCCCCGCGCCTCCAGGAAGTGGTCCGCCATTTGAACCAGCGCCGATATGGTCTTACAGCTTCTTTCCCTTAAGAAGATCGCCAGCCTAGGATGACAATTCCGAAGGAATTGCTCCCCGATCATCCGGTCACGAATCCCCTCATACGTTTTTGGGCATGCGTTCATACTGACCCACCGGTCGAAGAACCCTTCTAGTCTTGCAGCAAACTGGCTCCCTGTCTCGCCGTCTAACGGCTTGCTCTCTCTAAATTTCTCGCGGTACCCCTCTGCCGTGTAACGGAACAGCTGGAGCAAAGGCCTCTTCACTTTATTATAATCCAAAGAGTCTTCAGACGACATCCTACCTATGACCTCCAGAGCTGGGCCAACCAGGCACATGCTTAGAGCAGTCGCCCACTTCTCTTGCGGCCAATCTTGCCCCTGAGCTACAGGCTCAAATCTCCTCAAATACGAGTCGAGATCGT